TCCCTTCATGCGTTATGAAATATGCAAGTACTAAATTAGTAGGCACAAAATACCTTGCACATAGAATTCTGAAAATATGTATTCATTTCATGCAAAATATACTAGAACCCTAATAAAAATGCGGCGAACAAAATATGTGCAGAATACTTTTAATATACATGGAAATCGTATATACTGTTGTGTTATGCTCTAAGCATCTTGTGACTGTGATACTTTGGTAGGTTGACTTAAACTACCAAAGTATTGGAAAGCTCGCATATCAGAAGTTCATTTCAAGCAGATGTGGAGTACACTGAAGTGCCTAAATACAACATTTGATTAGTTTGTCAATTGAGTTGTGCAGCATCGCACTGATAAATCAGCCCAGTATACGTTATTGTCTCCTTTTTTCTATCAAGAACACACCTGATGAGTTTCTTGCACACCAATCACAAGCTGGGTTCGGAAACTACAATCGCAACACCTACCGATACTGGAAAGCTTCGGCAAGTGCTGTGAGCAGATATGTTTGGCGTGGTTGTGTTAGCACAATGTTAGTTCACTGAATGTGCATACTCACCTATGCACGTGATATGGGTAGTGACTTTAATATAGTGACGTTAATGATCATACTAAATAGTAAAGAAAAGCAAAATAACAATTTTAAAGTGAATAAACTGCCTTGACTCGCTTCGTCCTGAGTGGTGCTATGCAGAGAAGCAATAACATTTCTTCTACGAGCCATTTTTCTGGATATTGTTTTAGCGACTGCGCCGAATTATTATTAGTTGTATCAATGCGTTTTAGTAAGAGATATTGTCCACAAACTTCAAAACACTGTTTTCCCTTTGACAGACTCCCGAGGAGAAGATGGAATACTAGGGACCTTAAAAAGTGCAGAGGTGGTCACCGGCCAAATGATTACCTTCAATATGTAGGTTATATAAGGCTCCAAAGCAGTCAACAGGAATGTGATTCAGGTGTTCATCGCGTCGTAGGGTTTGTGTTTGTATTCGTTTCTAATGTGTAGTTGTGGAATGTATTTAGTAGTGCCTTCAAGTACCATAGGGACCCCATTTCCTAATTGATTCCAAAATAAAAAAATATGTAGCTATTTTTAATACACAAATGGCATCTTGAGGGGCAACGAATTATATTTTTGGTGTATCTAAAATCTTTTCTGATTAGAGTGGTGCGAAGGAACCCATCCCACCACATCCTGCGCTGCTGAGGCCATGTGGCGATAGCATTGAAGGGGCGTCGCCGAAGTGGACAATCTCGTGCCCACAGCGGCGCTGCCTGAGGATGTAGAGGCTAGAAAAGGGACGGAGACACGACTGTTACGGCTCTCGGCTGCGCGGGACAAACCAGGACGGCTGCCTGGCTTCTTGAGCGCGGGGCTGTGATTGCCGCCGCTAGCCGGCGACCTGCCCGGAGCTGCGGCCCCCCCTCTCCCCCCCCCCCCCCCCCCCCCCGCATATGGAAGACGGACCATGGTCACGGAGGCGTGCAGCTCCAACGCTCCGGCAATGTTTTACGTCTAGACTAACAACCCATTCCTGTCACGTTAACAAATGTAGTTTCTCGTTTTGGAAACCCCGGCTTTCTTTCTTTTCTTTTCCTTTATTATTCCTTTGTTATTCTTTTTTTAAATACACAATCGTTGCTTGGACCCATAGCCGTGGCGGCTAGTCGCGGGTCCAACATTAGAAATAACCTTTACAATGCGGCAGGCAAACAAAACAAATGTACGCATACATCAAAGTATTCACAAAACAACATACATACTAAGTGAAAAAAATATATAGGGCATGATATTTAACTTATTCATTGGCTCGCAATTTAATTAAATACTTCTTTAAGAATGGCAATATATTCTGTTTACATTTTATGTCGGTAGGGATATCATTCCATACCAGGGCACCGTTGAATTCAATAAGCCGTTCTCCATAAACATTCCGACAAGATGGCAAATTAAACAGATTATTTGTTGCAGCTCTCGTATTCCGTAATGGTAATTTAAATATCTGTAATGGGAGTGGGTCGTTAGTTTTTATTATTTTAAAGACTGTTTCAGCTATTTTTAAGTTGTATAGGAGGTCTAGTGGCAGCACACCAACTGATCGAAATAGAGGACCGCTTGGTTCGGTATATCTAGAATAAGTAATGAGTCTCATAGCCCTTTTCTGCAATCGACTGAGTGGCTCTAAATACGTGGTGTATGATGAAAATAATCCCTGGAGAAGGGGAACAAGGGGGACAAAGGACAAACACAAATCTCCAAACACAGCTAGGTGACTGGTGCGCGACCGAAAAAATCCGCCTGGTCCGGGTATTGAACCCGGGACCTCTCCATTACAAGTGGAGACTCCACTTGTAATGGAGAGGTCCCGGGTTCAATACCCGGACCAGGCGGATTTTTTCGGTCGCGCACCAGTCACCTAGCTGTGTTTGGAGATTTGTGTTTGTCCTTTGTCACCCTTGTTCCCCTTCTCCAGGGATTATTTTCATCATTACTGTCCAGCTCGCTTGCACCTTTGCATTTAATTGCATTATAATAACGTGGTGTATGTTCCGCCCCAAGACTCTATACAGTAATTCAAGTGACTATGTACAAATGCAAAGTATAGAATACGCAGTATAGACGAATTGAAAAACTCCCGAGCCTTTAGTAGTGTGTAGCATCCGTGTGCAAGTTTTGTGCTTATATTTTTAATTTGATTCTTCCAATGCATATCGGTTTCAAACAAGACACCCAAATATTTGTAACAGGAAACATGCAGCAACTGCACGTTATCTAAGTACATAGCTAGTTCTTCAGAATTTGTTTGCCTTCTCCTAGAGTGAAACACAGTGTACTTAGTTTTTTTTATGTTAAGTGTGAGTTGGTTACTAGTGAACCACGTTAAGACCCTTGTTAATTCTTCATTTATTTTACCTTGTAGTTCACTTATTGTGTCCCCGACAAAAACTAATGCCGTATCGTCTGCATACATGAGTGCTTCAGACTGACATAAAACAGAAGGAAAATCATTGACGTAGAGAGAAAAAAGAATGGGCCCCAAAACAGAGCCTTGTGGTACCCCTGTAAGCACTGTTTGTGGTGTAGAGATAAAATTATTAATCCTTACACATTGTGTTCGTTTAGAAAGATAACTTTGAAATAACTCTAATATCTTTCCCCTAAAACCGTACTCATGCAGCTTGTTCAATAGTATTTTGTGATTAACTGTATCGAAAGCCTTACTTATATCCAAATAAACAACCACAGCAATTTTATTTTCATGAAGAGCCTTATTAAGAAGCTGAGTTAACACGAGTACAGCGGAAGAGGTAGATCTGTTCGGCCTAAATCCGTGCTGACTAGGGCAGAGAATATTGTACTTACTTATAAATTCCTGAATGTGTTTACAAATTATTTTTTTCAAAAATTGTATTAATTACACTTAATACTGATATTGGTCGATAACAAGACGGCTCAGAAGTATCTCCCTCTTTAAAAATGGGCACAACCCTTGCTATTTCGAGCTCATCGGGATATATTGCGCTTTCCAATGAATGATTAAACAAGTGTAGAAAATGAACGCCTAAAATGTCTATATTATCTTTTATTAATTTTACTGGAACGGTATCGAGCCCGGCCGATTTGTTTACTCGGAGACTTCTAATTGTAGACGTAATTTCAGTCATCTCAATTTCCTGTATGACAAAGGTATTAACAACCGAAGCCGTTAACCTCGTGGAAACTATCACATGTGGCAACTGTGCTGCTAGGAGAGGACCTATGTTCGTAAAGTAGTTATTAAAATTGTCTACCATTTCCTGGTTGGCTAGTTCGGGTTGCACACGTCGATCTGAGCGAAGGCCGAGTGCGTGATTAACTATATCCCAAATCTTTTGTGCATTCCCGTCGGCCTGTTCAATAAGAGAGGAGTAATATTGCCGTTTCCTTTTCCGCATAAGAGAAACAGATGCGTTTCTTAATCGCTTAAATTGTCCTAGATAATATTTGTTGCTTTTGTTTTGTTTCCATTTACGATACCAGCTGTCTTTCTCTTTCAGTACGCCTAAAATTTGACTCGTCATCCAAGGGCACACCGGCTCTCCATATCTGCTGTTTGTCCTACTTTCAGCGCTCTGAATTGCTGCGTTTTTAAGAGTATGAACAAAGTTTTGATATTCATTGTTGATGTCATGATTATACAAAGCATAAAAATTGGTTTGTTCTAATATACTTCGAAGTAGGACATAGTTTACCTTGGTGCGTATTTTAGGACAAAGATTCGCATTTACAGACGACTGGTTTCGCAAAACAACAAAAATAGGCAGATGGTCCGCTATTGGATCAGAGTAAACTCCGGCACACACACCGCTATCGATGTTACAAAGCGCGTGATCGATCAACGTACTCGAAGTACCGGTAATACGAGTGGGTTCACGTATAATATTGTGTAAGCTAAAGGATTCGAGAAGTAGAGTATAATCATTGTGCGTATCCCATGCCAAGTCAATATTAAAATCTCCAAGGATTACAATGCGGCCGGTATACTTATGAGTTATTTGTACAAGAACCGATTCGAATTTGTCTAAGAAAGGTGTCATTGCGGTGCTTGGAGGACGGTACACTACTCCAATTATCAGACTACAAGGAAGTTTAATAAAAAGTGCTTCAATATGTTCATCACTGATAGAGGCAGTATGTACAACTTCAAAGACAATGTCCTCTTTCACAAAGAATGCAACGCCACCTCCCATTGTACGTGAGACCCGTGGAAGGGAGGAAAATATATACCCGGGTATAAGAGCCGTTTCAGTATTTTGAAGCCATGTTTCACTTACAGCAATTATATCATATGCTTGTTGGTGCCGTGAAATACATGCAAGTAGTTGATTTAGATTTTTTCTTAGACTGCGTACATTGCTATGAAACAAAGAAAAAGCATCACGGTTTAGCATTAAATTGTCAACCTGTTGGAAAGTGTAAGGCATAATGATCCTAAGAACACAGAACAAGGTGCTAGCTATTGAGACGACTGCACAACTCTCGCAAGGTCCCCTTCACACGTCACATGCAGCACATGAGAGTTTTCACACTTCCGCATGAAAATCTTGCCCTGTCTCACCCAAACAAATTTCCAGTCCTTGTCTCGCCTCTCCTGGCGAGCCTTACTTAGCAAAATCTTATTCTCAACACAAAGATGTTCATTTACGTACAGTGGGTCGTTTGCCTCGAAGCCTAGAAGACTTGTGTTGAGTTTCGTCTTCCTGGCCGCACACAAAAACCTGTCACGTACTGTGCGCGAGGAAAACTTTACCACCACATTCGGCTTCCCTTTGTCCTTTGACTGGACTCTATGCCCTACATCTATATCTCCCTCAGAAATCTCGGCGCCTAGACAGGTCGCAATTTCTCCCACAGCCTTCTGCAAGTTTTCGTTTGGAAGAATAGGTAGCCCTTTAATTTCGAGATTCATGTTTCTAGAATATTGCTTCAGTTCTACGACTTCTCTTTTGACGTCACAGAGTTTTTTGCTTAGTTGCTGGTTTTCTCTTTGGTTCTGAGTGCATTGGACCTTTACTTCCGATAGTTCTCGACGGAAGCCCCCGACATCTTTTTTTAGTTGTTCGACATCCGCGTTCAAAAAGGTGAGCGATGATCGTATACCGACCAGCTCAGTGTAGATTTCATCATTCGAGCTCTTTACCTTCTCTACGTCACTTTTTATGTCGGTCGCAAATGCGTCAAGTCGAACTATCAGGTCATTTAGAACCTTAACAACTTCCTTGATGCTATTTGGCTGTTTCTCACCTATGGCTTTCACAACATCATTCAGACTTCCGGGATTTCTTTCCCCCATAACCAACGATCAGTACTACAGAAAAGCAAACTAGAATCACACAGCACAAGTTGATATGCGGCACGACACGTATGGCAGCAACAGCGACAGCACTTCGAAAATCGCACTTTTAGAATAAATATGGAAAAACAAATCACCAACCTGTAATGTACAGGAATGCTGTCGTTAGTGCACGTCCGTCCGCTGTCGCCGCCGCTGCCAAAGTGTGCGAAACACCCAGAGGCACCGCCCACTCGGAAGAGATAAGACGCTTGAAGTAGACGAAAATGTCCGACAGATGTCAGGCTTGACGAGATGATCAAGGACTTGGAAATGTTCACTGTTCACGTCTCTGCTGCGGCCGAGGTCTCCCTCAGATCCGTCCGCGATTTTCAGGAACCAGCCGCAGAAGCCCTCCTCGATGACGATCCGTGAATGTGCGGCGAACCGACTGTAATGTACAGGAATGCTGTCGTTAGTGCACGTCCGTCCGCTGTCGCCGCCGCTGCCAAAGTGTGCGAAACACCCAGAGGCACCGCCCACTCGGAAGAGATAAGACGCTTGAAGTAGACGAAAATGTCCGACAGATGTCAGGCTTGACGAGATGATCGAGGACTTGGAAATGTTCACTGTTCACGTCTCTGCTGCGGCCGAGGTCTCCCTCAGATCCGTCCGCGATTTTCAGGAACCAGCCGCAGAAGCCCTCCTCGATGACGATCCGTGAATGTGCGGCGAACCGACTGTAATGTACAGAAATGCTGTCGTTAGTGCACGTCCGTCCGCTGTCGCCGCCGCTGCCAAAAAGTGTTGTTCCTCCCGGATGGGCATGCAGCAAGGCAACCCTACCACAATATTTCATATATTTTAAATTCCATACGCGTGTATTTCGAATGCGGACAAAATAATGCACAATTAATACAAAATAACTACTCATATTCAATATATTTTAATATTGTTTCAAGTATTATCGCTTATTTCTAAGGGTTGGGGTCTGAACTTTGCGTTCTAGCCCTTTTCTGGAACATAGCTTTTCCAAAACTTGCAGGAGCGTCAAAAACAAGAAGAGGGCTGCTCACCTTCATATCGCTCACGGGTGTACAGATGAGGAGGAAAGGAGGAGGATGAGGAGGAGGGGAGGAGGAGGAGGAAAGTAGGGCAGGATGAAAAGCAGAGGAGGAGGGGATGAGAAAAGGAAGAGGGGAAAAGGGGCGGCATAACCCTCCCCTGCTCTTCCTCCAGAGCTACGCTCTAATTTCGCGCTACAGGGATTTGTAAACGTCTTTAATTTTTTATTATCACAAGCAACATTATGCTCGTTTTTTTACAATGAGCACGGCATCATTTAGGTGTGCTCTTGCACTGGTACAGAAAAAGACATACGTCGTCTCAGTGGAGTGATCAGCTGTTTTTCACCCAGTTTTGTAATTTAAGGTTTATTTCCGTGCAATACATCTTGCCACCTAGCTTATTAAGGCTTGAAAAAAAAATAGAGCACACTCTCGCTGCTTAGTAGTTTGTGTCGGATGTGATATTCTTTAGTGCCTATCATCTTCTTAGAACGCAAATTCAGCACATCTGCTGAGCTTGACTTCAATGTGGAATCGGGGTACAAACAAATATAAAATATGATCGGTTTAATTAATATACCACTATTTACCAGATTAGTGTTCGCACAGTGTGCGCTTGCGCATATTCGTGCACTATCTCGAACATCGCAAACTAAAATGCTTGTACGGCAACGGAAAGATACGAGTAGCTGGGCCTTTAAAAATAGTTGTACCAGCGCAAAAAAAAAGAGTACGCCTAATAAAGTTCCTAGATAAGAGCTTCCTACAAGTACTGCCATTCTTTGAAGCACCGACTGCGTGACGGTGCAGCTTTTAGGAAGCGAATGGCGGCGCACAGCAGATGTTTGAGCTGGTTGCCGCCATTTTATTCCAGCGGAATGTACCTTGTCATTTGTATTGCTTGTAGTTACTTGTAAAATAAGTATCAAGGGACTTTAACGCGGACGAGAGTGTGGCACCACTGTGACTGAGCATGTTTGTTTTGGGACTTGGGAATGCACTTAAACCTTCTTGCTCAGTAGATGTTCGATATTGCCTACTCATGAAGAGCGCGGGTTTGATTACGCTCGAGGAGGGAAGAGCGGCGCAGGCTTATGCGTTTCTTGTTTCACCAGTCTCAGTCGGTAGCAATCCTACCTTATTTCTTTTTCATGAGACAGAGCGCAATCGAAGGTTCAGACAGATACAACGTACTCCATATAAAATACATTTGTAAATCGTGAATGATTCGCGGCGCATGTTTGGATTAGCCAATGTGGGTACATGTACAAGACAAAAAATCACGAACGAGATGGCGTTGCGCTTTTGAGGATACTTCTTTAGTCTCGTGGGCTCATACCATCAGTTCCGCTGTGATCTTAGGTACAACGAAGCATTTATTCGCTGCTTTCTCGATCGGTGTTCTGCTGGTACTGAAAGACAGCTTCTTCTTTGCAAAAGTTCATAATGTTGATAATTTAGATGCTAATAAAATGTGCAATTAACTACCCAAGCAGCATGTTGTGAATGGGCCATCGCTAGCAAGTGTACTATGGCCAACCAGATTTTTGATGGCCCAAGCTTGGCCAAAGTGCTCGGCAATAGAAGTGATTTCGTCCTCGTCTGGTGACTTGCCATTAACTTTATGCCAGTCGCTGGCCATTCACTTTAGGCCAGTGACTGGCCATTCACTTTAGGCCAGTGACTGGCCATTGACCTTTGTCCAGTGGCTGGTCATTCACTTTAGGCCAGAGACTAGCCATTCACCTTTGCTCAGTGACTGCCCATTCACATTTGGCCAGTGACTAGCCATTCACTTTAGGCCAGTGACTTCCCATTCACCTTTGGCCAGTCACTTTCGGCCAGCCACTGGCCATTCACGTTTGGCCTGCCACTGGCCATTGACTTCCGGCCAGTCACTGGCCGAAAGTGCCTGTAGTTATACACTTAATACGTAATTTATTACAGACTGCCTCAGTGTTCCTCAGAAGACTGTCAAGAGTTTCGGGAGGTCAAGTTTTAGAACTCAACCCCAGAAACTCTTACATAGTAATGACACGCGAAGCTGCTGCAAGGCTGCTCACTATTTATTGGACTTCTTGAGTACTAAGACTTACGACGCTGGTTGCGACCACCATTGCAGTAGTCGTAGGTTCAGGAATGGTATGTTGTCCCACCATTAAGTGCAGCCGTCAAAAAAATAGAAAGAAGTAACTTTAGGTGAAGGGACAGTGCAACAATAGAGAGTTTTAGTAGATCGTTCCGATATCTCCGATAGCCCCGGTAACGATACCATGCATGCGCAAGTGGAGGCGGTTGCGGAGTATCGGGTATCGTTATCGGAGTCATGGGAGCGATCTACTAAAACTCTCTACTGTTCATTTACAATATTTTTCACTTTACACAAGCTTACAGGCACTAATGGGAAAGAGAAGCCTTGAGTACACAGTAAAGGGTTTTACACACTTAAGGGTGCAAATCAGTTTGTCCCTGGGCTAACACCCTTATGACGTTCAGGCAAGCACCCTTCACAAAGGTGCTTGCTAACACCCTTGGTGAAGGGAGCTCGGCATGAAATGGGCACCTGCTGGAGTAACCCAGTGGATGCTGGGCCACCCCAGCCAATCTGGCGCCGGGAGAGTATCATGCGACGTTTTGGTTATGTGGAGTTCAAGGTCGCATGACGCTCTCTCGACGCTGGATTGGCTGGTAGCGTCCGCCGCGCTCGGACGAAGGGTGAAATGAAGTATAGACCCCAGTGAACATTTCATTGGAATGTGCCCAATACACATATCAGAACTTGTAAATTGTACGAAAATCATATATGGTATTGCATATTCTTATATTATTATTATATGATTTACAGCTTATCATGTTTACGGAACACATTTACACTTTTTTCACTTAGAGGGATTGCCACATCACCACATACGAGGCACGTGATAAAGAAATAATGAGTCACACTAAACACAACTCACTTCATGAAGAAGTAATACAAAAGAGCTCCTTGCAAGCCACATCATAACCCCGTGGGCACTTGGAAAGTACGGCACCCCCATTTCTCGAACACTAAGTGAGCAAGCAGTGGCCCCAAGCATCGCACTGCACGGCTGAACCATTGCGAACATCATGGCCTGCCACAAACGAAGCATGTAAAGCTTTCCTGTTTGGAGATCAAGTGACATGTTTTGTTTGTCTCTGAGGATTGCAGGCAACACGCTTCGCTTACCACTTGTCTCCTACGCGCATCTGTTTACTAATTGGAAGCAGGTTAGAGGGGGGTGATTTAGGCCTTGACTGAACCACAGCAGTATTTCATTAGGTGAAGCTCATTATGACATCAATTAGAATGTGTTAAATTAAACATTTATTGAACCTTGAGAGATGGAATATACAATGTATGCCATTCCATGAAATAAAGAATGCTATCAGCAAAATGTAATGAAAAATATTACAGAATGAACTTGCAATCTACGGCAAAAAAGCAAACGTTTCAGTAGAAGACGCTATCCTCTTGCACACGTACAAAGAAAATTATAAAGTTCTGGAAGACAACTATGGACAAGGCACTCGTACAGCTAAATTCTAAGCACCTCGTCTACAGGAGGTCAGCATTAGTTATCACAGAAAGTGCCCAACATTTAAAGGAAGAAAAAGAAAACATGCCTCTATAAAACCTTCTATCATTCGTTCTGGAAGCAAAATAAAAATGAACCTGATAATACTGGCGAGAAAAGTGGATTACACACTTTTAAAACGGCTCACAAAACGTCTCTTCAACCACATACCTTTCTGCAAACTTTGTTGAAAATTTTAATTACGACTGTCCTTAAACTGGTGTCGCTCAAGCCAAGGAAAATCCTCTCCAGAACAACCAGTGTGTTGGAGGCCTTGCATTCGTACTGGGTGCTGAAAAGCCAATATGCTGCCAACAGCATGCACAGCCCCTCTTCTGCATTAAAAACGGAAAACAAG